GTAGCCCGCGACTCCGTCCGCGGGCAAATGAGAAAACTTAATTAGTAGCCTATGTGTCCTTCCAGACTGCGTTATGCACACCTCTGCCCAATATCAGCGACATCCTTGCAGCAGTTCTGGTGAAACCTTCTAACAAATATCCATCCATAAAGACATTCATATTTATGATATTAATAAGATGTCAGAGTATTTATATTTGAAAATGAAAATTTAACAATTTATTATATAGGAGGGAAAGAGGGTAATAAGTTTTGTATGTGTAAAATTTTTGTATCAAAATCTATAAAATTGTTTGTTAAAAAGAAGTACATTTTGTTGCAGATTATTTTTTCATTGCAACATTAATCACACTGCAGGAGCGTGTAGTAAATTTTAGCGATGAATTATTATCCAGAATTACTCCAGCTAAATGCTCGCGCTTGCTCTTTATGTTGCTTACTCACGCACCACCAGATATAACATATGTTACCGTAAAAGTACTAACGAAAATTCTAAAATTTACCGTCAACATCTAAGGTTTACCGGTAAAATATAGATTTAATGTAAAATTCTGAAAAGTTATGATAACTTTGTTTATTTAGACCACAATTCACTTAATTCGTTTTACCAGTGGTACCAGTGGTAAAGTCTGGTGGTCTTAAAAAATAAGGCAAAAAAAAATTAAGGTGTATAAAACACAGTACACCGACTTAGGTGAGTGGGATATGGCCAGGAATATGGTTATAACCAAGTGAAAAAAGTTTGAAATGAACAAAGATCACATAAGTTTTCGGACTTTTATCATAACTTTTTCCGTAGAAATGTCACGTCACTTCTACTAGTAAATATTGTTGTCATTATTTTGTCAAGCAGAATGAACGGATATGATGTGTCACTGCAGTGGAGTTGTAGATTTAGATTTTACCGGTAAATCTTAGAATATAAAGTAGATTGCTCTTTTACGGTAACATAATCACAAAATTATAAATTTCTTATGAATTATTCAGAGATATATCGTATTGTTACTTTGTTAACTTATTGAATCTAGGACGTTGACATACTAGGGCTATACCACATTTGCCCGATTGACAGATAACATGGGTAAGCCACATGAGGATAAGATATATATTATTTGTGCTAATCCATACTGTATGCAGGCCATATAATAATACAATTTAATTAAAAAGAATTTACTTAATTCTACTAATAAAGATGGTCTTACTGTAAACATCAAGGAATTCCTTGTTCCAAGCTAGTGATTCCTTTTCAAACCATTTAATACAAAGTAATTTGAAGACTCTTTCTATAGAATTGCCTAAAATATAGATGCATTTAACACTACTAAACTAATTATTTTTTATATCATAAGGTGGCAAACGAGCGAGCGGCCACCTGAAATCGCTGAAATAGCAAAGCGACGGTTGCCCATAGACATACGCAATTGTATATGCGTTGCCTACTTTAAATCGACGGAGGAGAGGATGCACAGAAAGAAAATATCTTCCCTTTCCATGCCTCCTCTCATCCGGAAAGTCCACTTCCTCTTCCCATTCTTTCCCTATAAGAAAAAGGGTGGGAAGGGAAGGAGGACTAAATTAGGCTTCTGGGACGCACACTCATCAGACGAAACGCGGAATTGCTTCCACTTTCGCCTGTCTTCTGTGTGGTCGTGGTATTTCACCGGGCGAGCCGGGCCAATTCGTGCGAAGATGTTAAAGCGGGCTCTACCACTGTAAAATTGGCCTAGAGATTAGAAATTGATCATTAATTGTTATTCTATATTATAACTTTATAACAACTGGCATTTAAACAAACGCACTGATACATGGCGCGGAATTTTTGCCATTGGCCTCATGACGTCACGAGCTTACGTTGCTGACCAGATAAGCGTGGTGTTAGTTAGAGAGTCATCGGCAAACTTGCGAATTGCTATTTATTCAAGCAATATTGTTTTTTCTTCATTCGTCGGTTTCAATGTCTGACGGCGGTACGGTACGCATAATTAGTCTAGTTTCTCGTTTCTAGAATTAATTAATATTGTGTTGCATTCGTTTTAAACGTAACAAATAATTATACTTAGATAATATTTAATTTGTATTTATACGAACACAGCATAGGAAACTTAATAGCTAATTTATACAAATAGGAAATTTTACAGAACTTTTTATTTAAAAACAAATGAAATTTTACATACAGTATGATGTCTGAGCAGCCAATATACTCGTATATTCTTTTTATATCATAAGGTGGCAAAAGAGCGTGCGGCCACCTGAAATCACTGATATAGCGAAGTAACCGTTGCCCATAGACATACGCAATTGCATATGCGTTGCCTACCTTTAATCGATAAAGAAGAGGATGCACAGAAAGAAAATATATTTTCCCCTTTCCATGCATACCCTCATCCGGAAAGTCCACTTCCACTTCCCATCCTTTCCTTATAAGAAAAAGGGTGGGAAGGGAAGGAGGACTAAATTAGGCTTCCGCGACGCACACTCATCAGACGAAACGCGGAATTGCTTCCACTTGACGCCTGTCTTCTGTGTGGTCGTGGTATTGCACCGGGCGAACCGGGCCAATTCGTGCGAAGATGTTAAAGCGGGCTCTACCACTGTTACATAAAGTCTATATAAAGTCTAGTGGACTTACTACATTTATAAGATTTTATTATAGTAATCAATAGAATTAATATCCTTATACTAGGCCGCGATTATCATTTTTATTACATCCTAAATGCTAGTATGATGTATACGTATAAAGCTACAAATTTCCGTAATAATGCAAAACGTATAAGTAATATTTTTGATGGTAAACACTAGATTTTTGTCAAGGTTTATTGTAAGATTATGGAATTATTATTCCTAAATGTTATCGTAAATGTTGAATATAGTAACATTGTCCTTTGTTCATGTTCCAATCATACAAACATCTGCCGCGTTGTCGCCCGTTACAAATTGTCAACTGCGAGATCGATCACTGGAATCAGATTACATTTTAGCGGGTGTGTCCTTTGTCGTGTTCACGTAATGTATTTTATTATTTCTATTCAACCTCTAATATATGATTTACTTTAATAAAATATTTCCAGTCAAAATTATAAAGTTTAGTTGGTTGCATGGCTCAGTTCAATTGCTACTCGTATACTTACAGTAAATCTAATGAAAATTTCATAATGAAACAAAAACGTTTTTTTTTAATTTTTCGTTCTTTTGAAACAAATATTTAAGCAGAAAAATTAAAACTAAAACGAATAGACGATATCAAAAGAAAGGTTTACCCAAAAGGTCTTATTTTTTCAAAGAAGTGACGAAATTTCTTGATAATAATAATTAAAGGCACTTGTTCAATACTGAATGTATACAATACAATTCTGGGTAAGAGTTGGGATTTCCGTGCAGTAAATAAATCTTGCGAGGATTATTTTCTTTGTGGCGCCAAAGAAATACTTACTACCTGAATTAGCAAGGTAAGGGATAATTATGTCCGTGAAAGAGACGGATATAGTGTTGATATATCTGTCTCTATTACGCGTATTATAAAACTTTTGGTTTGCACGAATAATCCTATTGTACAGTTCCTTGTAATTTTTTGTCATACCATTTTGGTAAAGTACCACGAAAGTCCAGGCTAAAAATAAGTTTTTTTTTAATGTTTTGAAAGCATTGCATTGATACCTTGAGACATCAGTAACTACTTTATAATAATAATTATTAATAAAATAAAGAACATTTCCCTAGTTCGTGCAGCATTTCGTTACTTCGTATATCTCAAACAAGCTTTCGCCCGCGACTCCTTGAAATTGTAAAAAAACTGTTGGTCGCAGCGTAATGTTATATAGCATAATGCCATCCTCTATAAATGGACTATCCAACAAAAAATATTTTTTTATATATTGTACTATTTATTATATTACAGTCACAAGGTCGCATTAATTATTAAATAAAAATCTTATTCAATAGCAAGCACCCTACCTTCAATATTCCAATGTAATTTATACACGAACAAAAGCGTATTCAACGAAATTCTCATAATTACGTGTTTAGCTAAATCTTAGTTTACTGTCACAAAAGCTCCATATGATTTCGAACGTATTAACTCATCGAATGGCTCCCCGTGAATATGTGTTAGATTTTTTTCTAATAATCTCTTTATGAAAGGGGAACCCGACTCTCTGACCCTTCAATTATCCGTTTGATGGCGGTAAGCGATTATAACCTTTATCGCTATATGAATACGACTTTTTGTATACCAAAATCTCTTTAATAGACATAATACAAAAATATTATCATAACTGGGGGTGCGGTGATTTTTAATATGTCACTTTTGTATTTTAGCCTTTTGTTGGACGAAAGCTCTAAATCAAATATCGCATAATTAAAAATATCATCGACAAAAAGCAAAAAAAGGGATATCTTTTTAATCTCCTATACTCTTTTATTGCTTCGGAAATACGTAGATATATTAAACCTTTTCTTTTTAGTTTCTTCTAAAAGAAATCCTTCTAATGGTGTTAAAAATGAAAAAGTTTGAATGGATGGTTGTTAACAGTTAACTTCAGAACAGCTCACTTCAAAGTAGTTTTAAGGTAGATATAGGCTTTTTATCTCAGAAAAATATACAATTCCTGTAAAATAGATTTGTTTTTGATAATTATATAATTGCTCAATAATAACTAATTTCAATAAACACAGTCTGAAAAGACTGCAACGGCAGGAAAGAAGAATAAAACATTTAAGTGAAAACTGTTGTTATCTCTGTTTTTCTAAGGGAGAACAACAGGGATGTCAGTATCGTTGTAATTATGCTACGAAAATGAAGACTCACCGTGATAGTCTTTTGTTTATTAAGTTTAGCTTTTTCATGGAAGAGCGTATAAAGAATGTCGTGCTCTTTGGCTACTTAATGCTATTACAAAAGGCAGGTGGCGTTATGACTCACGCTATGACGTGCAGGGGTCAGTCGACGGGGAAGTATTACGGTAGGTACGGCGCCGCGTGGGGTGTGTTATCACAGTATTTATCTACTTATGTGTATAAGGGTTGGACCCAGACGGACAAAAAGGATGGAAAAAGTTTCATAGTAAGAAATATCATACGATTTATAAATAAACGTCTAACTTCCGCACTCAAAGTCATTAATTGGTATCTATGAAAGACCCTCAGTCTCCTTCTTTTTTTGTAAATTTTTGATCGATTATAATTTTGAAATGATTTGTAAAAAATGAATAAAAAAAATAACCATTATTAATAAACTAGCTGTCGCCCGTGACTCTGTCCGGAATTAAAAAAATCTTAATAAGTAGCCTATGTATTCTACCAGACTATGTTCTATATATATGCCAAATTTCAGCGCAATCCATGCAGCTGTTCCTAAGATACCTTCTAAACAATCGCATTTATAATATTAGTATGATATGCTTACGTTAATTATGATAATTACTTAAACTTTTGTTATCTATATTTCGTAATAAAGGCAAGAATTTTACAAAATACAGGCAGCAGCTGGCGCAACAAAATTCCCTTTTCGTAAATTCGTCTCTCCTATAAATTACAAATTTCGTTCCGCGATCTTCCTTGAAAATAACTAAATATGAACTTGGGTATACAAACCGTATTTAAACAAATTACTTCCTGAATTAATATTAAATTCAAAATTATTTTACAATTATTTTGTTTATAAATTTTACGCATTAAGTATTAGTGAACTAGAGAGACTAAGAAACATCGTAGACGTAACTAACACATTGAAAATAATGTATTAATTTCGGCAAAGGACTCACGTATTGTCCAGTCCCTGCGTTGAATCATCCACGCCCCTACTTCAGTCGTAGCCGCGTGTCGTACCGGGATGAACGTCCTTAACTAAAGAATTTCCATTCCCGAACTTTCGTGTTGCTTTACCGAATTTTAACTTTTTAATTCATTTGTTGTGTTTATTTGTGGGTGTTTCATGAACCAGTTGAATTTATTTAAGGTATGTATTTAATTTTTTTTATTTAATAGCTTTATAGATAATTTTTTTTTGTTTTGGTTTTAACAAAAACTTTTTCTTAGATTTGTTTTTGATTGATGTTATTAATCTTCTTTAAGATCTTTTTGTTTTATTATTTTTTAAATTATAGCAATTCTGATATTCACTGGCTTTATTCTATAAAAGTGAACATAACAATGTTATGTTATGAAATTTTAGTAATAATTACTTAATTAATTTTTTTTCTAGTTCTATTTTTAAAATAAATATGATAAAAATTATCTTTGTTATATTCACCTAATATTTTATATATTAAATAACTATTTAAAATTATTTTTATTTTCATGTTTTCGTGTACTACATTATTACGTATAGATTTACAAAGTTTCACAAACTTATATAAGCTTTTGGTTGTAATAATATGTGTGCACAATCGGTTCTTATATTTACGTCGTTGATTAAAGATTATTCTTGACGACTCAGTGCATAAATATTTTTGTAACCAATAGTCAAAAATATTTTGAAACGTGCAAACATATTTATGCAGCTGACTGTACAACTGTATTTTTAAACTACAGTATGATTTTAACAAAACTTTGAATAAGCATATAGAATAATAGGCATGGCGTAGGAGTAAGGATGATTAATATCGTCGCATGAGGAGCAATTGTCAGAATTAAGGCAAGATGAAGAATGATCGTCCGTGACGAAAGAATAATGTGGATCGAATTTAACATAAATCGTAATTTTATTTTATTAAAAAAACGCTACTAGAAATTAAATAATTTTTAACTTTAATCAGTTAAATTATAATATAATAAATTATCAAGCCTATGACATCACTGTAGTGGCATTAACGAATGCTAGAAGCACACAATAATTAATGCTTGTATTCTATTAGGCTTTGTATATCTCCATTTAATATGTCTATTTGCGAATAACCTAAAATTTTTAAGCCTGTCTTTCTAAATGCTATCTTAAAATGGATCAAAGTACGAGTTTATTGACCTTTATTTTGTTTTTAAATTGAATAAAAACAATTGTAATAATGTCGACTGTTTAACTTTCTTTGGTTGTCTGTCTGATTCAGATTTATCACTCAGGGCATATGTTAGTGTAGGTTTCGTATTTACTAAGTGACTGTTTAAATAAACATTAAAATATTCTAGTACGCCACTTAAATATGTAATTAAGCTTTAATATAACTACTATAAAAAGATATCATAATTATAAGAGGTCGTTAAAATAACCAAATTCTTGGCAGGTGAAAGGGCATGTCCGCGCAGATTATGTTATAAAAAAGCTTGGACGTGACATATTTTTCTTGTCGCAAAAGCTTTAAGAGCGTCGTTCGTTCTAAATTTGAAAAGTAAAAAAATTTAGCGTCTTTAATAAACGATGGTAAGGAAGCTTAGACGGGAATTTTTTCGTAGAATTTTTCACAGGAATTTCTTTGTAAGTGGTCTTCCCTGAGACGATCTCGGCGCCAATTAGTGTCACTCGTTTATTAGTTCCAAGCTTCGGCGGAAGAATACTTTGTACGGTATTAAACATTTGAAAAAAAACTAACATCACTGTCCTATATATTTTTAATGAAAATTTTCACATTAAAATGTTTATTTTAGCTTCATTTGAAGCTAAGTATATTTATTTACATCCTTATACATATATATACTTATAATACATAAACTCTTAAATCTATGATATAAAATAAAAATTAAAAAAAAAACCGAATAATTAACTAAAATATGTTAACAAAAGGAGTCCCTTTAGGCAAGGCTTAGCTTAGCTTTTAGCTTCATTTTGTACTTTATGCTGTTCATCATCATCAGCTCCCTATACGCTCATTGAGGGGCTCGGAGCCTACCCTACGTTGAGAGTGACTAGGCCTTAGTCAACCACGCTGGCTCAGTGCGGGTTGGGTGACTTCACACATATCTTTGAATTTCTTCGCAGATATGTATAGAACGTCGGATAAATGTACACATGTAAATCGGAAATCGACAAACACATTGGTACATGGCGGGATTTGAACCCAGGGCCTGTAGATTACAAGTCAAGTATTAAAACCCCTGAGCCACCGACGCTCTTCTTCATGCTGTTGCTTGTAATAAAATCAAAATTTTAAATCTTCCTTATACGAACACTCGAAATAGTTTCACAACAATTTAATATCAATTATGTAGTCGACGGAAAACTTGAAGAAACTTTATCAAAACTTGTAATCCGTAGATGCATAACTTAAGTAAAACTTAAGGCAGCTGTACCGCACTTTCCTACATCAATCAAATTTTATCCCGCACATAAATACTTCGCAACTAATTACCTTAAGCGAGGATAGACACTTACCAGCGTCGTAACTTACTAAAATTTAAGTTATACAACTTAGCTAGGCTTTAGTTTCAAGTTGATTTGAATTGATTTATCTTGTGACTACGTTGATATAGTTACCTTCAACTGAAGATTTTTTTTAAGAAAACATAGATTTTTTTTAATTCCATGAAGTTATTATTATTAAATAAAATATTGGCTGCCAATATTTTTTTTTCGGACTTAAGTGTAAAAGCTCAAAGTGAAATGTATGTTTTGTTTACAAAGCTTGGGTCTTTATTTGAACAAGCGTATAATTATTCTCAAGTCCGTGCAAGGATTTCATTATCATACGACATATTAAACAACTTAAAGGCTTATCTCTAAAACAGCATGAAGAACACCGTATTCTCTAGATTAATCTTATATTCGCCTAAAGGGATCTCAAGGTTTCTGCCTTAAATTGTACTGCCTATTTTGTAACAGGATTAATATAACGAAATCTTACTGGTTTCAGACCCGCTATGACCAAACTAGACGTATTTTAACATATAAGTAAGTGCTATATAAGTGATTTAAATAAGTTACTTAAGTGAACCTTTTCTAGTTATTCTAATGTTCAGTATTTAAAAAATTAGCATCTCATTTTCAACAAAAAAAACTAAAGCAACATAGAATAAAAATATATGTAACTTAAAGATACCTGTCAAGTAATTTTGACCTAAATTATAAAAAAAGACAAAGACGAACTGAAAGTCTTAAAACTTGACAATCGCCAAAAGAACCGACCACTTCAAAGATTTTAAACGCACTTAAATAGATATAAAAATGTACTGTAATATTAAAATGTATACGAAACTCGTTTCGCTCACAAAGAAAAACAATATAAAGATACAAAAGAAAGTAAGCAGAAAGCGAAATGATTTCATTTTTTTCCGAGTGTATCTTTACAGCTTATTTCGAAAGACAAACGATCGGGTACAGTCCAAGTGAAAAAAATTAAATCTAAAAACAAAAGACGAACTTGATTCTCGATCCTCCACTTCAAGTCTCTTTGAATGGAAATTGTCGAAAACCTTCTTAAAGACAAAAGACGAGAGGTCTTTAGAAGTTGAGTAATAAAAGTCCATGGTTTTTTTTTGTTAAATACTGTATAGAGTTTTCAAGATGAAAAATTATTAAAGGAACAAAAGATAAAATTTTTAAGACTATCCTTTTAAAATAATTTAAATACAAGAGATTTGAATAACACACCAGAAGACAGGCGTGAAGTGGAAGCAATTCCGCGTTTCGTCTGATGAGTGTGCGTCCCGTAGGCCTAATTTAGTCCTCTTTTCCTTTCCACCGTTTTTCTTATAAGGAAAGGATGGGAATTAGAAGTGGACTTTTCGGATGAGAGGATGCATAGGAAGGGAAAATATTTTCTTTCTGTGCATCTTCTCCTCCGTCGATTAAGGTAGGTAACGCATATGCAATTGCGTATGTCTATGGGCAACAGTCACTTCGCTATTTCAACGATTTCAGGTGGCCGCTCGCTCGTTTGCCACCTTATGATATAAAAAAAAGATTTCTATGGACATATACGTTCCTAAATCGGTGAACAGATTTTGATGAATTTTTGGTAGAGAATATTTAGGAGTAGTTTGTGCCATAAAATTTTATATATATAATATTTAATGTCTAATGTTGAATGAACATATCATCAACCTGCCCTTATCCCTATCGAGGGTCGGCACAGCATGTACTACTCCTCCATACATCTCTATCAGCAGTCATATCCGAGTCTACCCCCTTCTTACGCATATCCTCTTTCACACAGTCATTCCATACTTTTTTTGGTCTTCCTCTACCCTTGTAGAATGTTGAATGAACATATGTCAACTCTTTTATCGTACGCTGACATTAGACGTTCCTAAAAATCTTTATTATTGAAACAATTAGTTGTAGGTTTCCAAAATGCGCAGAAATTATGAAATCACTATTTCATGATTTCATTCGCTATGTATTGTATTATTTTATCAGTTATTTTATTTGTCTGTACATTAAAAATCTAGATAACTCCACAAAAATTATTATACTTTTCATAAAACCTTTGATGTCGAATGCCTAACATTAATACAAAGGCCTTTACTCATCTATATTAAAAAAAAACAAAACAAAACATTTTTGTTAAACTTTTTAACAAAATATTCTCATAATGTATTTTTATGTTTTTCAGGTACATTAAAATGCCCGACAAGGAGTTGGTCGTCAAATATTTACTCCTAACTTTGGCTTTGACTTCATTTCATATATCATACACAGAGAGCCGGCTTAATGAGAAACGTAGAGACAAAACGGACAGAAGACATCATTCCGTACAAGTAAAGGATAATTTATGCGAAATCGCAAATAGAGAGTCCAAAGTGCATTGCTACTGTGAGAGAACTGAAATCAATACTGCGACTAGGGCTGATTGTTGGGTTTTCAATGGTGGCATTGATGAAAGCGACCCCATATGGGCGAGCTTCAATTCTCAAATGTATTTAGAGAGACTCACGTTTAATGTTAGATCAGACGGAGCCTTGACGTTTATTCCGCTAGCCGTGATTCATCGTCTCAAGAGATTGCAGAAGCTACACATACACTATGCTACATTGAATAAAATAGAAAAGAAAACATTCACAAATCTGACGTCAATTAAGGAGATAACATTAATGAATAATAAAATTACAAAATTAGATATCTCCGCATTCAAAGGCCTACCGGCTCTAGTCAATATAACAATCAAAGAAAATAAAATAACAGAAATACAAAGAGACATATTTGTTGAATTACCAAGCTTGAAATATCTTGATTTATCTTTCAACAGTATTAATCTCGCCCACGACGGCTGTTTCGAGCATCTATCTATATTAAATGATTTAGTATTAGAGGCGAATTTAATTACAGTTCTGACTAGAGATACTTTCAGAGGACTTGCTAATTTGACAAGATTGGATTTGAGGTCGAACAAGTTGTCAATGATCGGCGATTTGACATTTACAGAATTGTGGAATTTGAATGAGCTACTCTTGGATAACAATGAATTGAAATATTTGTCTGAAAGGGCTTTTGATGGACTCGCTTTGCTAGAGAAGTTGTCAATGACGGGTAATCAATTGCAGTCTATCAATGAAGGACTTTTGGAAGGCGTTCGAGGACTTAAATTATTGGATTTGAGAAATAATGAATTGAAGACCTTCTCCCTAGAAACGGTTAAACCAATATTTGAAAATTTAAAAGACAAATCTTCAGTACTTTATTTAAGTGGTGAGTTAATAAAATCTGATGACAATTTGATAGAATTAATTAGACACATTTCCGAAATTTAACTGGATAAGCTTGTAACATGTAATACTAGAGTAAGGGTGGCTTTAAGATTGCTTCTACAGCTTTAATAATACCACTAACTGTTCATTTACGGTTAACTAACTCTGTTTCCCTAACAATAGAATGTATATCAATCCCCTTTGGTGCTTTAATCCCCTGTTCTCAACTTTGAGTACAAAAGTCCCCCTTCAGCAAATTCACAACAAAATAACCTTTTGAATGCAACGAATGGGAACTATTTAACTGTGCAAACATAATATTACTGTGTAATTTATTCCCTTTGCTGTCAACAAGTCAAAGCTTTTATAAACTAGTTATTAGTAAAATAATATTTGAATAAATGCAGAAACTTGATTTTAGTTTACTGGTATTACTTTGATCCTCGTTAGCATACGTTTTGACTGCCTCTGTATATTTTTGTGCTTAGTTTTGTGTTACGAGTAAACACCCATGGGAACATTCGTTAATTAATTTAGATGTTTTATTATGTTATTAATGCTGTTAAGAAGAAAATCTGACACTGTCACGGTGTATCGGCGCAATACTAGCCTTATTAAATATCAACGTTTATGTCCCCTCACTAATCAATCTGACACTTGACTTGGTAACGAAAGCGCGCTGTTCTTTCTAAATGATTTTAAAATATATGTCTTATTTTGCAGGTAACAACTTTATCTGCGATTGTCAACTAATTTGGTTGCTAACTCTAAGAAACGAAACAAAAAGTGAACCACTTAAATTAGCACTGAACACAATCACATGTACATTTGACAGGAATGAAGAACTCAAAGAAGAACAAGACGTAAAAGATAAAGTAGAAAAGGTATTCGAACTTGGTACTAATGGTGATGTGTTCCAACAAACTGATGATGAATTGTACCCTGATAATCCATTATATAAATTGGATACTACAGAGAAAACTGCATCTAATGAAGTAGTATTAGTTGATGTACCGATAGACTCTTTACCTTGTCCTGGTGAAAAATTACCTAAAAGAGAAGATTCATTGATGCTTTCATCTAAAGATGAAAATTACTGGCAATCAAATTCAAGTTCAAATATGACGTCATTTCCATTATTAATTCTTTTATTGGCATCTTATATTTATCATTAATTAATAGATGGTTTTAAGACATTCCTTATAGTGTGTTTCTATGTGAATATAAAATTAAAGTAAGATAAACTATTGTACGTAAATCGCTGTTTATAGCTTTGCTTTATTAAATAAATTAATTAGATTTAACTTTGGTTTTTTATTATGAGTACTTTAATACGGAGCGTCGGTGGCTCAGTGTTCAGGCACTTTACTTGCAATCTGCAGATCCTGGGTTCGCATCCCGCCATGTACCAATGTGTTTTTCGATTTCCGATTTACATATGTACATTTACCCGACGTTCTTACGGTGAAGAAAAACATCGTAATGCAACCTGCACATATCTGAGAATAAATTCGAAAATATGTGTGAAGTCAACCAACCAGCACTTGGCCAGCGTTGACTATGGCCTAATCACCCTTAACTTAGGGTAGGCTCCGAGCCCCTCGGTGGGGACGTATAGTGATTTGATGATGATGATGTATAATACTTTAATACTGATTGCATTAAAAAAAATACGATGAAATAAAACGAACAGGACAGGAACTAAAGTGTGTGATTAAATCGAAGAAAATTTATTGTAACATAGATTTACCCCAAGAGCCCAGTAAAAAAATCAAATGTTTTGACAAATACGTTTGACCAACATTCATCAAACATTTCAAATACAGATAAAAGGGCCAAACAAAGGATTATACTATGAAATAATTGGACTAATACAAAATCGATAAACGGGTCCGTAACAAATACTTCCCGAAGTCTTATTTTACGTAAATCAAGAATTCTAACTTTAAAAAAGTTATAACTAGAAAAAACGCAGTCCAAGTAGTAAATTAATTGTACGATTTACTCTGAAATTATGTCTATCAAAGACATTTAAAAATGATTTTCCATTGCTAGTTTAGAATCATAACCAACAATTTGAACTGTAATTGCTAGATCGTAACTAACAATTATTTAGCGTAGACGATACCGAATCGATAAATTAGAATATATGTTACCTGATTCGATGGTATGGTCATGTAAGGAGGAGGCCGCCAGACTACATCGGTAATTTAGCACTACAACTTTCCCTCCCTGGTCGCAGATCCAGAGGCAGACCCAAAACGAGATGGAAAGATGTAGTAATGAAAGACATGAGTGAGTGCCAAGTCTCAGAAGAAGATGTCATGGACAGAGCGAAGTGGAAGAGACGGATTGGGAAAGCTGACCCCACCACCTTGTGGGATGCAAGCTAGGGAGAGAGAGAGAGAGAGAGAGAGAGAGAGAGTTACCTGATTCGTTACAAATAGACAAAATGGTAGTATAGTATGCAAAAAGAATACGTTAATCACCTAATACTGAATGAAACTTGCACAGAAACATGTAAAACAATCTTATAAGTCTATAGCGAAAAAGAATTCCATTATTTCCTAATTAATGAAATTTAGAAGTATAAACGGACTAGGATAGACGGCACTTTTTTAATCAGACCACATGTAATACTCTAAAAAGCGATGTATCTGTTATTTCTAGGCAAGAATTTGATAAACAATTGGCATTTTTAAATATGCGGTTAAGAAAAATCAACGTTTCATTTGGACCATATTTATCTGAATAGTTAAATAGAAGGAAATTGACAACTGCCACATTTTTACCTTCACTGTAGTAGAACGATATAATTAGGTATCCAACTACAAATTAAAAACAGTCTTCATAAAATATTCTGATAAACCTATATTTAACTTTACAATTTAGTACCACTAATATCAGTACCAAATAATTTGAAAGCATAGTTTCTGAATGGAATTGATAATCGAATTTTAAGATCTATTGGTACTAGTCTTATAAATATCATTCTACAAAAATGTTTATTTTTATTTCATGTTATGAGTTTAATTCGAAACGCCTTTGAATTTTTAATAGCAAAAAATATTATTACCTTTTTTGCATGCTTTTCATCATTAGGCTAACATTGAATATAATTTTGTACTTTGTAATTCATGTAAAAACCAAATAGTGTCTATTTAGAAGACCCTTGATACTTTTTCTCATATAAACATATCATCATATAACAACGTGTAACATTTTTGGTGGATTCCCATATAAAAATCCAAATACAATAAATGTGATAAATCTATACCTTTTTAATAACGTCCGCCGATTATTCTAGCATTGTAAAAGCGAACAATATTGAGTTATTATTAACCACAATAGCACGACGGGATATAAGGGGGAATAAAGATTTAAGGGGAGAAATATTGTTATTTTATACGTGAATAGTTATTGACAGATATGTTTTAGTCGAATTACATATTTTACTCTTTTAAATTGTTTTTCTTTTGATTGAATTGTGTTGGTTAAAGTTATTATTGTAAAGAAATATTATATAACCTCGTTATACAAATATGAAGTGGAGTAACTGAAGTAGAAGAAATGTCAACTCAACTTCAAGGTTATAGATAAGACTAGATAGATTTATGGAGGCTTGTTTAAAGGTATATCAGGAAAGGCTCAACGGATCTCAATGAAATTTGGCATAGATTTAGAACAAAGATAAGAATAACAAATAGGCTACCAATTAAATTTTTTTTTAATTTCACGAAGACGGAACAGCGGTCGGCAGCTAGTATCTAATAAAACAAGTAAAAGTAATGCCAAACAAAAAGGTACATAGCTCGTAATTGATAAGGAAAGTTCCGTAGTAAAGTTTGGTCAACTTATTACTAAGTTATCGAAGCACAACAAATTCTTTAGACGTATTTCGTAAACATATGAATATATCCAAGGAAAAAAAAATCATATTATGTTATTTGTAGAAAAAAAATTATGTTTTGTATTTTTAGTAAGCTTACTAATATTATAAATGCGAATGTATACATAGATGCATGGATGTTTGTTTGAAGTTATGCCTAGAACGGCTGAACGGATCTCGATGAATTTTGACATAGTAAGGAACATAATCTGGAAGAACACATATGCTACTAATTAAGTTTCTTTTAATTCCGCACGGACAGAGTCGCGGGGGACAGCTACTTACAAATAATTTCTCTTAAAGATTCACCCCAATTCAACCAGAGTCTATAAAATAAAAATTTTATATCAATAAATCCGTTATGCACCTATTTCCTCCAAAAACAATATTATTTCTTCAGAATTGAAACAGGAAAATGCTAACTCAAATTTTGTGTAGCAAAATATATTCTGTTATTCCCTCGGGTAATTGTTGTAAAATAAGTTATATTCAAGTTTTAGAAAAAAACATCTCATAGAAACTGGCTTACTCGATCAATAATTTATTTGATTTTTTACCTTACAGAGTTTATGTCAAACTCGCCAATAGCCTAATAGTTAAGGGTATGGATTTCCAACAATTAGGTCGGGACTTCGAACCCCGCCCTTCGACTATTGTCGTAAATCATGTCCTAGCACAAACCTAGAGCTTAGTTGGAATGGTTAAAGAAATATCAGTAAATTTTCTAATATTTTTTTCAGACAACAAATAATAAGACAACTTTCTTATCTTATATTTCTTATCAATTATAGTAAAAGAATCAAAACAAAATTATAATTATAAATATAATTAAACAAACTACAGTTATAGTCAAATTGTTATTCACAAAATGTAATCAATATTCCTAGATACATCTTACTAATATTATAACCGCTACGATTTGGGGTCCTTCAAGAAGCGAGCGTATCATTTCAAAGGCCGGCAACGCAACTGCGCTTCCTCTGTTATTCCTGATGTCCATGGGCGTCGTTGAACACCTCGGTGTTACCGCTGCTCGTTTGCCCCCTTCTGTTTTAAAAAAAAAATGCAAATTTGTGGATGGATTGCTGCTTGTTTGTTCGAATGTAACTTCAGAGCTGTATGGATCTCTCTGAATTTGGCATAGATTTGGAACATCCTATGGAAGAAGACATTTACATATATATATATTTTATATATATAAATGTTGTATGGTATGGTAGACTACTAATTAAGTTTTTTTTAATCCCCCGCGGACAGATTCGCGGGCGACAGTTTGTACAAAATAAATATGTTAAAATTAATTTATTAAAGAAAAATATTGTTTAATAACTTCATACAATATTGCAGTAATGCCCGCACTTCAAAGAAATTCAATAAGATACTTCTAGATATGATTGGAAATTACCATCAAAGTTCCTTTATATTCTTTTAAGAAAAATATCTTACGTTGAACGTAGTCAATAAGATATCAATTTTCAATCAAAACCTACTTATATCATCGTATCCGCCATGAGGAAGTGGATAATAAAACAAATATTGGATTACTAATCCCGTAGTTTTTAGCTTTAATATACCTGCTGTATATTTTCTTTTTTATTCAACTGATTTAGAAGATAATTAATAAGGTTTCTGAGACCGAAATCTTAGTTTGCAACATTTTACATATTTGTTTTGTCAAATGACAGGGATTACGATATGATTTATAAAGATATTTTGGTCTCATAAACCCATGGTTAATCTATTTTAAGGTTTTTAAATTAACTATTACTTTGTGTATCATCATTAAATTCACATCACATATACAATTGTTATGAGAACAAACAGAGCTACTGTTTGTTCTCATTTAATTTGAGCATTAAATAACCATTAATTTTCAACGTTTTGGCATTCGCACAGGAACATATTTGGAGTTTTATTACGTTTTGGCGAGACGCCATTCCGCTTTAATCAAGTATAAAATGTTTTGTATAATAATATTACTTCCCGTCCTGTTTTGTATCTGTACTAGTGCTGCGTCCATGATGAAGGATTCAAATAATTACGTAAGTTTAATCTTGGAATATGCGAAAGGTACAGAAATATAAATAGAGCGTCAGTGGCTCAGGGTTCAAGCACTTGACTTGCTATCTGCAGGTCCTGGGTTCGAATCCCGCCATGTACCAATGTGTTTTTCTATTTCCGATTTACATATGTACATTTATCCGACGTTCTTACGGTGAAGGAAAACATCGTGAGGCAACCTGCACATATCTGAGAAGAAATTCAAAGATATGTGTGAAGTCAACC